AATACAAATAAAATCAGGATAAAATAAATAGTTAACAACTCTTGGTAAAGATTTTAAATAAAAACTTTTATCAATAATTAAAAAGTATCATATAACTATAGAAATAAGTCAACTAATAATTTATATACATAATATTGAATTAGATTTTAATGATGAAACTATTAATTTATTAATCTTATTAATCAGTATAATATTAAATCTAAAAAATTAAATGCTATTATTTAAGCATGTGATACAGTAGTGGTCATAAGTATCCGACCATCTCTAATTCCAACTACAAGTAAGTAAATTCAAAATTTTTTTTTTTATTTAAAAAATACATAACCAATTAACTAAAATTAATACATTATGTAGTCATCATCTAACTCTATAAGTGCAGCTGTATGCCTTTTCATGCTAGCTACCAAATTCGTGGCAACCTTAGATATAATTAAAAATATATTTAAATATGATGATTAAAATATATAAAATGCATCTCTTATAGGCTTGTTCTAATAGATTGATATATATACAGCCCATCTCTAATCTGAGAATAGAAAATAGAAAAATTCAGGTCTAGAACTTTAGGACATAGTCTTTAATCTCAATTTTAGTAAGACTTGGTTTTAATTTTTAGGACTTAATTTAGATAGTTCCAATTTGATCTTTATATAAATTTTAATAAATAATATAAATTAAAATTTAATTTTATAGATATTTGCATATTACAATTTAATTATAATAACATGAAATATATAAATCAATTAGATTTTAATTAAATATTATATATTGCATCTTTTTATTTTCAAATTTATATTTTATATTATAAAATTATTCAGCAAAATAGCTTATTTGAACTATGATTTTGAAGATTTAAATAATATATAATAATAAATTTAACAATATAAAAATAAATAGTGATTTAAATTTATAATATGTTAATTATAATAAAATTATTAATAATAATTAAATAAAATACAATAAATTTAAATATTATAAACAATTGATTAAGATATTTGAATATAATACATATTTATAAATTTTAAAGGATACTATATTATGAGGATTACATTAGTTTAAGAGGTATATAATAAATTTTTAATGATTTAATAATATTAAATATTTAACCAAAAAGATGTTTTTAAAAAAATAATGTATACGTGTTTACGTGATGTTTGTTAAAATAGTTATTTACATTATTTATATTGTTTATTTAATAAAAAAGGAAATGTGATTGCGTTTTTAATAAAATTAAAAATTATATATAGAGGCAGTATCTACAGAGGTAAAAGTTAAGACATTAGTAGTAAAATTAGTATTTTTACGTAAAATACATGAAATTTAAAAAGGTTTTTACTTCTAACAAAACTTTTTAATTACAGATCGGAATTTTAAAAGAAAAGTATCATTTAAAAGAAAAAAATATACATAATCTAGCATAATTACAATTATTAATAAAATAAAAATTATAAAATAATATCAATTTAAAAAATGAAAAAATTATAAGTTTTTATAAAAATTTTCAAAAAATTTTTAATCTTCTAATAAAAAATCATTGGCATTAAAAGCTTAGAATTAAAAAAATTAGGAAATTCTAATTTGTAATCTTAAAATATAATACTTTTAAAAGTATAATATTAAAATAAATATTATTTAACAGTTTAGACTCAGTATTGATTAAGTTTTATATAAATTATAAAATTTTCATAAAGATTAAGTCAGTCTGTCTACATACTAGAACATATAGATTCTAGGACTTTAACTGAACTTTAGCAGACCTTTTATACCCTAATAATATGGAATCAAAAATACATCAAGTAGAAAGATAACAAAAAGAAAAAAGAAAATCTATTTCAACAAGTTTTCTGCATAAAGTTAATTGAATACATGATTTGTAATCGTTATTAAGTTGCTCAATCAATTGACTCAATGTTTAAATTATCTCATGATCTTGTTGATGGTCATTCTTTTGAAGGAAATGTAATTCTTCTTTACATTGATTATATGTTTCCTTGAGATAATTAAACCTATTATCTTAATGATGTAAACTTGAAGAAAAATCAGTTAGTTTTGTTTTCAAAAGATCATATTTTGCAGAAATTCAGAAACTTAAGAAAGTAAAATAGAAAGTTATTTTCTTATAGTCAAATTCTCTTAATGAAATTCTAAATTCTCTTAATAGATATGAATTTTTTCAGACAGATCTAAATTTAAGATAAGGAGAGAGAGTATATTTTAGAATTGTAAAATTAAGCATCTTCAACTAGCGAGTATCAGTTCACTAAAAGGTTAGCTTATTGAGATATTAATTTTTTAATGACATTTGCAAGTAAAATCAACTGAATAAAACAGTTAGCAAGTTTTGTACTTGCATTTTTAAGTAAGGTGATTGCAGTTTTAATTAACTTTAAGACTCTGATTGTTAATGTTTACAAAAAATTCTAAACTTCTAATATACCATTTAATTACTTTATTTGTAATTTCATTAGGATTATTTATCAATACCTATAATATATTATTAATTTAGTAATTGTTTTAAATTAAGTAATAACAATTTAAATTAAATATAATCTCATATGTTCTAATACAATTTGTAAACGTGAAATTGAATTTGCAGCTTTATACATAAAGTTTATCTAATTTCAAAGTATGTCTTAAGTCCCCTACCTTTAATTTGTAATATAACAGCAGTATTGATTAATAAATTTCCTACTATATGAGATTATTTAAAAAATGATATAATTTGATTGCAACCTTTGATTGTTTATATAGTCATATCGTGCTCTAAAAAATTAATAAATAAGAATACAATATTTTTAAAAAATTTACAATCATTTGTAATTTAAAATATATCCATCTATTACATGTTTAGATATTAAATTAATAAAATGAGCAATATATCGAAGATTAACAATATTTGAAGGCATTATTTGTAACTAATGCAGTTATTTTTTAGAACTAATTTTCTCAATAATTCCAATAATTTCATTTACTAGAAACTTTCCGTAAGGTGATCACTTAAGTAATCTTTAAGGTAATAAAGATATTGTTTCAATTAGGTATTAAAATTATATAATTATAAATAAAAATACTACTGGGATTAGTCCACCCATCAGCTTTAAGAATTGAAAATAAAATATTAAATTAATAATTAAATCTTATAATATATTTAAACTAACAAATATATAAAACTTATCAAGTGTTAAATTTTCAGAATCTTAAATAATTTTATCAACTTTTTTATTAACTTTTGCTGTTTCTTGGTTTAAAAGTCTCATATTAAACAATTTACGTGAAGGTAAAATATATTCCAGTCTCATTTCATAAAGAAATTTGATAAAAAATTGTTTTCAATAACTGAGAATGAAATACTATAATAATTAAATGCAAGTATAAGAGCACAAGTAATAGAAGCTGCTTTTTAAGAATATACAGTCAGATCTCTATATAGTCACTCCGTATATAGTCACACCTTTATATAAGAACCCATTTTTGCAGAATAAATTTAAAGCTTATTAAATTATCTCTCTATAATCACAAATCAGTTATAGTCACTATCACCTCATGATCCATAATGTACATATCATTTTTATTAGTAATTAGACCTCTTTATAATCTCAAATTTCCGATTGGCTTATATTGAAGAAATTTAATTGGCTACAGATCAAAAAAGTTTGATAAATTGATTATTTGATTATCTTAATTTTAAAATGTAATACTAGAGAGAAAATGTGTTACATTTTTTTTTAAATGTAACACACTTAGAAATGTAATATTGTAACATTAGGAAAAATTTTCTTTCCGTAGTGATAGTTTTTTTTCAATAAAAAAAGTGATGTTTAAAGTATTAATATGCTTTTATTGGAAATATCAAGTGGTTATAAAATTATTGATTCCTTTAAAAACCCCTTCTCAAAATTATTTCCGAATGACCTCTTACTATCTATCTATGGTAAACCTTTTCTAATAAATTTACATTCTTACTATTCTAACTTAAGTGGTAATTTATAACAGTATCATTATTCTTTCCTAACTAATTTTTGAATATTATAATGCTTTCTGACTGATCATCCAAACAATACCGTTCGGTCATAAGTGTTAGCCTTAAGCATTAAATTTGTGAATGGTTAAAAAATAATAAAAATAAAAAATATGAAGAAATTGCCAGTTATTTTAACGAAAAAGACCTAACTTTAAAAATCCATTGTAATACTGTAATAAAGATACTGGCACAAAGTGAAAGGTGGAGTTCTGTGTTAGAAATTGAAGATTCTAAGGAAATTTACAAAAATAAAAGAGTCAAGTTTCCAGAACTTGACAGGGCTATGAGTTTGTGAATAGAAAGTGTAACAGCAGGTGGTGTTATCTTAACAAATTCATTAATGAAAGAAAAAGCGAGATTTTTTGCCAATGCATTCAATATACAAGAAGATAAGTTGATACTTTCTAATGATTAGTTAGATAGTTTCAAAAAACGTAATAACATCCATCAGTATTGAATATATGGAGAATCAGAAAATACACCAATAGCATCTCTTTCAGAAGAAAGAATTAAGCTTCATCAACTTCTAAGCCAGTATACTTTTAATAAAATTTACAATATTGATGAAATAGGTCTTTACTATCAGATGTCTCCAAATCAAACACTTTCAACCAAGTCTGTTCGTGATGAAAAAAAGATAAAACACGAATCACAGTTCTTCTTAGTACAAATACAATAGGAACTGATAAATTCAAACTATGAGTAATTGGTAATGCAAAATATCTAAGACCTCTTTTGAAAATTAATATGAAGAAACTTCCAGTTTATTACTGTAGAAATTTGAAAGCATAGACGAACTCGACAATTTTTGGAGAAGTACTCCGTGAATTAGATAGTTACTTTAGAGCAAAATTTTGCTTCTGATTGATAATGCTTCATCGCATTTTGATCCAAATGATTTATCAAATGAGCAAGATGAATATAGCGCCAATGAAAAGATTGAATTCACATCAACCTCTAGTAAGTTTTTATAAAGGAAATGGGTCATCGGTTAAGTCTATTATTCATTAATTAGTCTTTTGATATAAAGTTTCTTATCAGATTAATGGAAAGTTAATTTTATTTTTATAAAGCTATTTAGTTTATTAGTTTATTTAATTTATATTAAATATATATTTATTTATTAATGTATATTACATATTAAAAAAAAAAAAATAAAAATAATAAAAATAATAATAATAATAATAATAATAATAATAATAATAATAATAGAAAAATTAAATAATAAAAAAAAAAATTTAAAAAATAGAAAATAGAAAAATTTATTTATATAATAAATATAATATAATCGTCAAATATTTAATAAAAATATCTTACCAGATTTTTTTTTTAATATAAATCAAGCTTCAAAGAGCTGTGATGGTGAACCAAGCAATCATGAATCTAGAGGTTATGGTAGAGGTTATGGTAGAGGCCATGGTGATGAACTAAGTAACCGTGAATCTAGAGGTCATAGTAGAGGTTGTAGTAATAAATCAAAGGATAGACTTAATATCCCTCAGCTTCAATTAACTCATATTGAGGTAGCTTTTTTACCTTCTAATACTACAAGCCATCTTCAGCCACTTGATATTGGGATTATTGCAAGCTTTAAAAACTATTATAAGAGGTATTTTTGTCATTATATGTTAAACCTATTTGATGATGGAAAAGATATTAGTAAAGAGAAAATCAATATTAAAGAAGCAATTGATTACTTAGTAGATCTATGAAAGTAAATAACTGAAGAAACCATTTACAACTGTTGGAAAAAACTGGAATTCTGCCTTCTTTAACTGATGAAAATATAGATAATGCAACGCAAATCCAACAAAATTCAGCAGATCATGAAAAAGCAAAGATTAATCAAATAATAGAAGAAATTGAAAAACTTAATGATGATTCTTATAATGCTTTATTAAAAAATGCATTGACTGATTATTTTCATGAATTAGAAGAAGTTTCAACTGAAGATATTCTAAATAATAATAATATTATACAATTAGTTCAAGAGGAAATACATGAAGAAGATGATACTAATGATGATTCTGAAGAAGAACTAATATTAATATCTCCAAATAAAGCTCTCAAATCTTTACAAACTTGGATTACATTTTTTGATTAACAGCAAATAGATGAATTTAGCATTGAAGACGATTATATCTTTAAATATAGTAAGGCGACTTGAAGTTCAATCTCGAAAGTAAGTTCTGATTACTGATTTTTTTAGTAATCATGAAAATTAAATAGAAAATTATGTAATCTGATAATATTTTTTTCATATGATTTAATAAAAATAGTATATTGGTTAAATAATAAATAAAATATCATGATAAATTTTATTTATAAAGCTAATAATACTAATTTAACCTCTAAATATTTGATTATCATATAGTTGTGATTATATAAAGATACTTTTTTTACAGTCACATCTTTATATAATCACTTATTTTGGTAGAACCAATTGTGTGACTATATAGAGGTCTGACTGTATTTATTTGTGAAAAAATATTTCTGAATATTCATTTGTAAAAAATTGTTTAAAGATATTAATTTCATGAAAAATGTTTTTAGATATTCATTTTATAAAAAAGTTTTAGATATTTATTTTATAAAAAAATATTTTTAAATATTCATTTTATAAAAAACATTTTTAAACATAAATTTTATGAAATCAATATCATTTGATATTAAGAAAATTAACTTTATAATAGTAGATTACTATTAATTTAATTTTAATAAATTATATATTTTTTTTTTTAGGATAGTTCAGGTCAAAATTTATTTGAATAATAAAATTAAAGTTTTTTTTATTTTTATTACAAAATTGTAGATTTTATCAATTTTTAGATTTATTATCAACTTATTACTATTTTTAGATACTGATAATTTTAGTATAATATTATTTTGCATAAATTTAAATCTATTTTATTTTGATTTTTTATTATATAAATCAATTTTTCATTTATAAATAAAAAAGGTAATTTATATCTAAATCTATTAAAATTTGATTAAAATTCAATTTTCATTTAAAATATAACTTTTATTATTTCTATTGCAAAGATTCCATATAATACAAATAAAATTTTTTTAAAATAAATGAATGTAAATAATTAAACTTAAATTCTATTAATATTTAAATTATTTAAATTAAAAGTTTTTGATAAAAATAGTTCTTATTGTGATAAATTATTTGTTAAAAAATATAGATTACAAAATAATCAAAATTTAAAAGATATAATAAGATTTGAAAAATCTAAACCTAAAAGAGTAACATTAAAAAGATTAATATTAGCTAACTCAGTATATCTCTAATTTGCTTAAAATTTTAAATAAATATTTAGTTTAAAGAATATTAGAATTTATACAAATATAGTATTTTATCACTAGAATTTTTATAGAATAACTAAGAATCTAATAACCAAAGAATTTATTATAATAATTTAATTTGCAAATAGAAGAAATTTGAAAAATATTCTTTCAAATGATTTTAATAAAATATTATAAAAAATGAAAATTATTATATAAAATTAATAACTAATAAATTTTGAATTTTATATAAATTAAAAATTTTTATAATAAAATATTTTATAAAATTATGAAAAATCTTATTATAAACAATTTTATATTTCAGATTTTAGATTATTATAATTAGTAGATAAATATATATTGGATGATAAATATATAGTGTATTACCTTACAGTAGTAGTCATAAGTATCTGACCGTCTGAGATCGTCTAAAATTATTATATAACTACCCCTTAAATTTTCCAGAAATATAATGTAATACAATATATGATCATCTGTAAATTTATAAATATCAATGATACAAAAAAAAAATTTAGATGATCATCAAACTTTCACTTGAAAAATGAAACTT